TCATGATCATATTTAGTGATAATATATGTTGCCGGTAAAAGCAATATTTTTAGTGACAAAATGATAGATTTAAACACAAAATTATTAACCTTTTTTATAATAATAAATTTGTCCCTAATTTATACATTTAAGGACAAAATATTTTTTTGTATATAAAAAATAGTCACTAGTAACGATATTGCATTTGTTCAACTACGAAATACATGTAACTTTAGAGACGATTGATGTCGTCACTAATTGAACTAAATAATTAACGACGATATAATTTTGTCGGTAGTAATAACCTTTTTAGTGACAAAACATACTATTTAACTACGAAAAAGTTACACTTTTTATGACAAATAAATTCGTCACAAATGTTTATTCATTTGGGGACGATGTTTTTTTTGTAGTTAATATAATAGTTTTAGTGACGAAGCACTAAATCGCCTTTGTATTCTTTTAGTGACACACATTTAATGACGACTGATTGACGAAATTTTTTTCGTCACACAAGATTTTTAGTGACGAAATATGATTTATAGATGACGAAATTATTTGTCCCTGATAATCAAATTTGTTGTAGTGCTTGATGCTAAAAGCTCACAAATAAATGGTGAATTTGGAGACTTGATCTTGAAATCCTAGCCTTCTTCTTCAAGCTTTAGAAAGAGAAATATTGGGGAAGAACTTGATCAACTTTTGGGGATTTTAGGAGAATGAGTTCAATTGGGTAATTTGGGGGCAAAAACTTTTATATAGGGTCTAGGATAGAAGGTAAAACGACATAGTATTGGGTTAGAATAATTAGGAAAATACCCAAAATCCCCTCTTAAAATAACTGCCGACTCGACCTACGGTTCGTAGGTCCACTTACAAACCGTCCTAGTGAGTTGTAGGTCAAGTACTGGGACCTAAAATTTTACCCTTTTTCAATGGATCCCATGTAAAGTCTGTTGGCCTTCCTACGATCCGTACATGTCATCCGTCGTTCCCAACATAGACCTTCAAAATTTCATTTAGTCTAGGCTCACCTACGAGATCTACCTATGACTCGTAATAGAATGACAAACCGTCTTGGTGGACCGTAAAAAGAGTACTGGAACATGACATTTGAAAATCATTTGACTTGCCACCTACGGTTCCCACCTACGACGCGTAACTGAACCTACGGTCTGTCGGTAGTAACACCAGTTCTAGAAAACCTACATTTTTTCTTATTTTCAAATCCAAGGTGTTACATACAATGAACAAGAAATGTACGTGACATAGTTACAATAATATTTTGTTAACGATGATGCATCTCTATCAAGAAACTGGCAACATAGGTGATCAATTAATTTGTTTAAATGATGATTTGACATATTTGCTCACAAAGTCATTGTCAACCTCAATATGCAATGAGTTGATATTTATGATAGGAGTACATCATCTTCAAGAGTTAAGTGATGTTTTAATTAGGGTGAGTAAAATACGTGTTTCACTCTTTTTTTCTTAACAAAGATTTTGTTCCAAAATTGAGTTTTCTTGTAAGATTTTCAATAAGGCATCTAGAAAGTATATTATCAAAATATGTTTACTCTTTTTTTCATTATGATTTTTTCTCACCGATTTTTCTTAGTAAGATTTTTAATGAGGCACATTGTTTGTTAATAAAACATCCAAGGAAGAATGTTATAAACTATTTTATCAATTTGGATGTATTCTTGATGATTATACAATTCAAATAGATCACTGATTTATTGATCCACGTAATCTGAGGTCCAATAACCCGACTCATTCAAGTTAACCAATAATAACTAAAAACAAGTTCGTTCCATGCTTCATATTTTGCGACTAAATAGATTCAAATTTTATGCTAACAAGCTCCAAAGGACTCCAAATTCAGATTCAAGTCAACTTCTTCTTTCTTTTACATAGGTGAATTCTTAGAAATCTAGCTTTAATTTTCAAACAAATAAATTCTAGTGATTTACAAGTTAGGTAAGATATTTACATGGATCAACAAATGAGTATGACTTATGTACTTAAATATTTCACTTATGTCATTTCACAATTACGTTAAATAAAGAATATTTGTTTACCCTAATAATAATTGTCATTCAATAAATAAAAAAAGACACATTTTTACTTCAAAATTAATATTAAAATCAAGTAGGGCCCAAAAGATGAAAGAGTAACAATTTAAATCATTAATTGCATGGGAAAAGCTGTGTTGGCCTAAAGCAAGTGGTGGACTAAATTTTCTGGATATATATACATGGAACAAAGTTGCAGTTGGGAAGTTGTTGTGGAACTTATGCAAAAACAAAGAAAAATTGTGGGTGGTTTGGATACATAGTTACTATGGGCAAAATGGTGTGTGGAACATACAAGCCAAACAGGCTTCCTGGGTAGTGCAGAAGATTTTGAAGACAACAAAACATCTACAAGAGGCTGGACTTACTGAGGTAGATATGAGGATCATGACACAACATAGCATAAGCAAAGTATATATGCAAATGAGAGGTACAAAGGAGAAGGTAGGATGGAGATCACTAGTATGGACAAATTATGGACCTCCTAAGTGAATTTTCATCATGTATCTAGCTGTACAAAGGAGACTAGCAACAAAGGACAAATTGGCAAAATGGAGAGTAATGCAAGACTTATTGTGTCCTCTATGTCAGTTAGTTAATGAAGATCATGACCATATATTTTTTCAATGTGATTATGCAGCAGAGATATGGAGGAGTATTCTACAATGGCAAGAAATAAGAAGGAATGCAATGAATTGGACGGAGGGAGTACAATGGGGAATGCAGTATATGAAAGGCAAAAGCAGCAAGGCACTAATGTACAGAATGGCAATGTCAAATGTTGTTTATCATATCTGGTTGGAGCGAAATGCTAGGATTTTTAAGCAGCAACAAAAACCAGCAAGCTACCTGATTAGGCTTATAATATAGGAGATTCATGGGAGAGGCAGTCGATATCCTAGAATAGATACTAGATTACAAAAGTTGAATACCTTCTCATAGAGTATAGTAGTAGTAATGAGATTTTGGTTTAGCAAGGGTGGAGCATATGTGCACACCGGCTAATTTCTTTGTTTTGTAACGTTTACTTGGTAAATAAAGTTTTACTTACCAAAAAAAAAACAATTTAAATCATTTTCGATACATTAAAGACATTTTTACCCATTTTTCTTTTTCCAGTTATACAAGCAACTTTTTTCCATGGATCAAAACGATATGGGAAAAATCATGACCTCTTTAAGGATGAAAAACTTTTTTAAAAAAACAACTAAAAGACAGTAAATTATAGGTTGTTGGGGAACAATGATTTTTTTTTAATAATAATAAGAAGAATAAGAATATTTGTTATTTAGCAAAATAATAGTACTGAAAATTAGATAAATATTACGGCTGTAATATTTTAAGTATTCAGAAATAATACTTGAGACATAGTCTTAAGAAACTATTTTAGGAGTGTAAAATGTTTCTCCAGAGTTAAACCAGTTTTTTTCTAATTAATAGAGGATACATAAATCAACATAATTAACGTCAACAAGTTTTAAAAGAAACAATAAAAGCAAAAGAAAGAAAAAGAAAGAAAAAGAAAGAGAAGGATGATAAGAGGAAGAAAGAGGGCAAGTAGTATTAGTAACTTTTGCTAAGTTTTAGCTTTGTTGTTGTGGGTATATTTTGCTATAGCAAAAAAGTGTTATTTATAGGTGAAGGATAATAGTTAAAAGTTAAAACATGTGATCAAGTGTGTCATCTCATGCAGAGAACTCTTACCCATATCCTTACGTACGGCGAAAATTTTAACTAGACTTACACATTAAGATATCGTAATTACCTTTTCAACAAAACCAACGGCTACGAATTCTAAAAAGAAAAATTGAATTTTCCAAACACTGAAAATCATTTTCATTGGATTGACTTACTCCCCGTGCTCTGTGCATATATTGTTTAACAGAAACCCTAATATTTATTGTGATAAAATTGATTTCCTGTTGATATCCCTGGTAAGAAATAGAACCATTGAATATATTAGTTACACACAATCTTAAGTAATCATAATGTTACTGTTATTATTCAAATTAAAATGGTCACCCCCACCCCCAAAATTGGAATCTACAAGTTAAACACTGGTAGATTCTTTTCTAAACATAAAGGAAAAGATGAAATTAGTGGAGTCAGTAGAAACACTAGCGGAATCTGAATTGTGGACTTATACAAGAGGAGCTATAGCCACAAGCCCACAACCACACCATGACTGAATTGAAAGTTTTTCTCAATGACCTAAATCTAGCTCTCACACAGCCTCCTGCCAATAGAAATTGAAACAGACTCAACTGAGATCTTACAATACTTAGAAGACACACAACCAACTTATAGTTTTATTATTATGTCTTGTAGGTTAATTTTGAAGAAATTAGAGAATTCAATAGTCCACCATAACTTTTGCCAAACATTTGTCCAGATTAGGTTCCAAGCTAACAATGACCAATCAACCATATATCTTACTAACCCCACCAGATGCTATAAAAGATCAAACTAAATGGAGTGCTATCTAGTATATTACTTGGTCAAACAAAAGTGGTATTTAAATTGAAATAAGTTGGGCTTCGCTTCCTCAAATTATTGCTTCCGGCTTGTTTCAACTTATTTTGGCTTAAACGGCAAATGATTTTAAGCACTTTTTAACTTTGGCTTCAATTATTACGTTTGCCTTGTTTCAACTTTGCCAGACACTGAGATAAGTCAACAATAACTTTAAATAAGTTGGTTAAACCAAATTCAAACACTCTCCAAGTCAAGAAGTGACTGTCAAACTACATTCCTAATATTTCAAGAGACATGTAAAAAACATCGTAAGGGTGACAAAAGACCGAATGAAATAGCTAACAAATCTGCATTATAATTTCAATTGGATTACAATAAGATACAATTTCAAAAAGGTTCTTTCAAAGAAAATGAATACTGCATAATAAGATAGCACTAGATACCCCTATTTCGCAACTAAACCGTGTCAACCAAAACAATTGAGATTAAAGTAATGACAGATTTTTCAAAACAAGGAGAATGTGAACAGAATACTAGTCATTGGAGTTGCATTGCCAGCTCATGATTCCAAAAGCAAATACAACACCAGGATTAATGTCAAGAATAACAAACAAGCCCAAGAAACAATTAAGGAACTTTGGTTGCGGGAGTATGATATGGAACTCAGTCTAGTATGCACCTTTCATCCAGAAACACATCTGGCGGTGATCGCGGATAGTTGAAACAGATCATTCAAACTTTGCTCTTTTTCTAGTTTTACCTCCTTTTGTTTGCATTATAGCACCAGCAGAGGCATAACACCTTAGCTTTTCAAGGATCCTTCTCTCACTGATGCGCAACACCAATGAATAATATATCTTAGGTTCTTTCACCAGACAGCAATAGTTCAAAGTTTTGAAATCATCTTCTAGATGGTTTGAACCATATAAACTTTCCCGAATATCTGCTAGTCCCGACAGAGCCACACAAACACCATCTGTCAGCAACATATTGTTGCTCGACTCAACACCTTCTCGAAATAAAACAATATCTTTCTTCGACAAATTGAAGCCCTCAGACTTTTCAAAACCACTGGTGATAGATACTGCAAGATCGAGTTCAGCAAACACTTCCTCTGGCAATAATATTATGTAAAGTAAAATCAACAGCTCAACTTGCGGCTCCCCATCAAATGAAATTTCAAAATATTCTAAATTTTGGCTAACACATCCAGAATAATCTAATTTTCTCCATAGTGATAACCTCCTCCTACTGTAGCGATGTGAAAATCGAGATGAACTCCACTGAAGTACAAGCTCCAGATCAAGGTTCACAATGTCATACTGGTTATCAGGCTCTGCAAATCCATACCTATGTAGCAGAGCAGCATTACCTAAAGACCCATACGTATTTAATACCTACAAAGATTACACAGTAAGAGAGTATAATACACTCAAAACTTTCTTACAATTTCATATAAAAGTGAATGTACAACCACAAGATCATCATTAAATAAGTTGTTTACAAACCAGTACGAAATATCAATTGGACAATAAGGGGTTAATTAGTTCACACACTAGTTATATGATTATAGCATAGAGATTATTAACATGGTGAATAACAATGAAGGAATTCTTATGCAGTAAAAAATAGCGTAGGGATTGTAATGCGGTGCATAACACTACAAGGAATTTTATGTATACCCTACTAGGCTACTAAAAGGGCATATTTTGACTTTAACTTACCGCATTGCTAATATATGAATTTGTATCAACATTCTATCCCACATAAAAGGAATCAGAGATTCTCACGCCTGTTTACGTGCATTATTTAATACATCCAACCAAAAGTTGCATTTGTTATTTTGAGATTAATTCCTTTAGAAAAACGTTAAACTAGTTATGCGGCAATTAATGTATTCTTATCCGGCCAACCAAACATCCTATTAGTTTATGCAACAGCTTATCTTGGGATAATTCACCCTAGTCCCTCGAGTCAAACAACCACTAAGGGGTCGTTTGGTAGCTAGATAAGAAATAATTTATCCATGCATTAATTTTCGTATAACTTATATGACGTTTGGAAGGTAGATAGAGAAAATAGAAAAGGGCTAAATGTACCCCTGTACTATTAGAAATAGTTTAAATTTATCCCTCATTATACTCTTGGTCCAAATAATCCCTTCCATTATACTTACAATCCAAATATACCCCTCTCATTATATTTGGCACAAATTTACCCTTAATTTTGACGAAAGAACACGTGACAAGCTAAAAACAAATAATTACTCCCTCCGTCCCAATTTATGTGACACTTTACGAATTTCAAGATTCAAACAAGTTAATCTTTGACCGTAAACTTTTTATATATGTTTTAATTATTTTGAGTTGCCAATTGTTGTGAATTATAGTACTTTTTACGTAGTTTACAAATATATAAATTTCATTTCAAAAAATTTGAAGATTCCACGCGCGAATTTCCAGTCAAACTTAAACTGTTTGACTCTCGAAAAATGAAAAGTGTCACATAAATTGGGACAGAGGAAGTATTATTTTAGAAAGCCACTTGCTTAACCCTCTCCGACCATTGCCTCCACTTAGAATTATTTTCTTTGCTTTTCTTTTCATTGTGCCCATATACGATTTCCCAACAAGTTCAGTAGCAATATTTCACCATTTAAGATTGGATGATGAATTAGGTCCAGCTAGTACTATTACTGATGATAATCCATCAAGATTCAAAAAAATCATATGTTGACAGTTGACACCATGAAAAGAAAAGAACTTAAACCGGACGTAATGGGTCAAAAAAGAGTTAAACGAATGGGTTTTTAAAAGAACCAAGTAATTTAAAATTAATTTGTAGTAACGGCAAATTTGTGTCAAAATATAATGAGAGGGTGTATTTGAACCAAAAGTATGATGAGAGGGGTATATTTAGCCCCAAAGTATAACAAAGGGCATATCAAAACTATTTCTAATAATACAAGGATATAGACCCTTTTCCATAGAAAATAAATTATTCAGCATAAACCAAATACGACGTTTGATTGATAATTTAGAAACCCGCATAATTAATACAGTATTAGTTATGAGGAAATCTATGTAATATTTTATGCAGGATAGAAGGTGAAATAACTAATACATGTATAACTAATACATTAAAAACTAATGTCTACCTAACTAATACCTTCATAAAATAATACATAGATTTCTTCATAACTAATCCCTATATTACTAATACCTGGACAATTCTAACCTACTTCCAAACAACTCATAGAATATCACTCAGATTGTCTGATTAGTTAAAAGAAGATATCATAAAGCAGATGTTTCCGTTGCATCTATCTTTCAGCTATTCCCTTGCCCAAGAGGAGGAAAGATATCAGTTATTATTTCTCCCCCTTCTTTACTTCTTTAAACGGTTGATAGGTAATTTTGTATTTTGCAGTGGGATGCTTCATGATAAGGAACTGTCAGCATACTGGCAGGATCTAATTCATAATCAAAGTAGGCTGTCCAACTTCAACTAAACAAAAGATGAAAACCTTGCTCATCTGTGTGACACAGTAGCTGTAATTAGAAAAACAATTTCAGATTTAAGATCTCCTCACCTCAGCCCCAGCTTCGACCTTTTTCACCATGATCATTTCCAAAACTGTAAGATCATCCTCAGAAGCTGAAGAAAACTCCGAGTAACTCCCACTAATCGATTCATCCCTTGAATTAACCTTGGTTGGTTCATTGTCGTCATTTACATGCTTGTCGCTGTGAGCATCATCATCCAATTCAGAATGAGAAGACTCCAAGTCACTCCTTTGGAGGCATTCACCTCCTGAATGAGTCTTATCATTTCCGTAATTTTCATTGTCAGCAGCATTATTCAATTCAGCATAAGATGTGAAGTGTACATCCTCAGCACCAGTTTTGTGATTAAACCTGCACATCAAATGTTTTTTGGATTGAGAGGAACCCTTCAGCACAACAAATCAAGACTGCCATAATTTTATAGCACCGGTGCAAGAATACAAAATCAGCTGGGTTTATCAGTTTCAGGGGAAGTTAAGAGAATTTAATTGTTTAATAAGGTAGCTACATGCCCTTAAATGAAATGTGTATCAGAGGTCATAGAGAAAACAATCATTCTGCACTAGAGTGCTCTCCCGCTGGAGCCTCTATGAGTTCATTGGTCAAGACATTGATCCAACAAGTAAAAATTAACCAACTTTTGATGAGTTACTGAACTCCTAGCACATAGATATTCTAGGTTACAAGAGGATCCACACGCATCAAGCTAAAAAGTCTCTGAAACAGATCCATACTGGGAACCTTTGCCAGTCGGACCAGAAACAATTTTAAATAGCAGTAAGGCCGGATGCTCAGTTGGTTTTTGTACAAAGTTAGGGTATTACAATTGAGTTTGCATAGTAACTTACTGCTTCACTTAGAATATCAGTCAAATAATCCTTTCGATAGGTCCATGGACAAGGATGAAGTTATAGAAACCCTAAGACGACCGTCGTTAAGGTCTCAAGCTAAGGAGTTGGAAGGCAAGGTTGTTGGGCTTCGATGGGAAATCAAAAAGATGCCTATCGTGGAAGAAGAGTGCAAGAACGAGACCAATAATTATGGTGAAGAGTGAGTTGAGCCCAAGAATTATGGCAAAGAGTGTGTAAGTGCTATATATATTTTATGGTCCAAGTTCAATCCCAAGAGGAGGATGATTAGGCCCACATGAAGCCCCAAATGAGTTGAGAGAATCTTGCCCCCAAGGAGCTACAAGTCACGCCTAAAGTGGAGCAAATAGGTGTGTGGTTTTTGGTGAAAGTTTGGCAACTTCTATTTCGTTAGGCGAGAATTTTGACATTATATTTACATGTTTATCTAGTTTAAAGTTTTGTAGTTAGGTTTTTACTATTTATTGTTTCCATAGAAGTAGAATTTGAATCCCAGCAATTTGGGATAGGTTTGCATTTTGTTCCTTTTTTCAAGATAACACATCATTATCAATATTACCGAGAGTTCTTTTTACACCGTTGTATTTGGCCACTTGGGATTTATCTTACAACCTTACATGACCAATTCTTTCAAGAGGTATGATTAATTCTTAACTTGATATCTTTGACTTCTATTATTAAAGAAAATTAAAGAAGGCAATTAGTTATGTTTACCAATTCTCAAAAATAAAAAAGGCAATTAGTCGTAAACTAATTATTGTCTCTAATTTCTTCGATATAGGGGGTCTAGATCACTTTGTTATCCAGAAAGACCAGATTGGCTTGGTCTTCCATAAGTACCTCCATATTTTGTTCTTGAATTGATTCTACATGCTTTGTGCTCTATAAATCTAGTTCCGGTCTTTTCAGCAAGCGAGCGAGTCAAACTGGCAAAACCTGGGTACACTGAAGATATAGCAATTGCTTTTAATCCACTAATTTTGATTACTAAGCTCAACTAGGGTTCTTAGCACTTAATTTTGAAATTTGGGTATTTTATTCTCGAATTTCACATATCTTTAATTTCCTCTCTTTAATTAATGTATTTTTGCATCTGCATTATTTCATGTTTCCGTTCAAGTAACCTGATTCTTATCACCTTTATAAGAAATTACTCTATGGTATTTTATCTTTCTAAAACATTTGATTGTCAAACAAGCAATGGCACTATATTTGGGGAGTATATTCTTTCTGGTAGTCCACTTAATATTTCCACCAGTTCAGTAGTTCAAGCAACACATATACCTATTAGATTTGGAATAAGACAAACGAGACAACAAGTCGTTAAAATAAAAATAAAAATGCAATGAAACTCGGTAATTGCAAAACTATGAAGTTAAACAAAGTATGGCTAGGAAATAAAATGGATACACGAAGACGACTTAAATAAGGTGAGAGAAGAATAGATTTTGACTTTTCAAACAACGTGCTTACATGCATACACAAGGCATAGATTTCACAATTATCATGAAACAACACTGATGAAATTTATGACGTGTAACATCATGACATAACAAGGAGCGAATGAACCCCTCACAGCAGAGGTAAAATAAGTCAGCAACTACCATTGAATAGGAAATAGTGAGACAGCTCAAACCAATATGGGAAGTTCAGTAAGTAAGAGGGAGATGAAGCAGTAAGAATTGATGCAGAAGATTCCACTAAAAGGTATACTCACAGATCTGCCAATGGGACCATTCCGCATCCATGGTAATCATCTATTTCAAAAGACCGCGACGCAATTAGACTTTTTGCAGCAAGATACTCCTTAACACCAAAATGTTCTGCTTTAAGCTGTAAAGAAACTGAAGTTAAGAGAGGCTCAATACACTCTTTCCAGTCCTCGTAGATAAGTGCCTTGTCGTCTTTAACTATCTGCCTACAAATACATCATAATGGTCATACAATAGAATAAGAACAAAATAAAGTCTAATATGCATGATTACCCAACTTCAAATAGCTTGTCAGAAGATCAAAAGTTGGCAAAGCAGCAAATACATTCTTTCGTAGAAGAGATCTCATTCTCTTTTAGTTTGAAGTTCACCAAACAGAAGTAGCAACACAGGCAGGCAGCGACATCAGCAATCTTTTTCTTCAGATGATAACGTAATGATTTTATTGCTGTGTCGGAGAAAGCTTCATATACAAGCAAATGACATGAAGTAGAGAGATCTAGGCAAAAATGTCATTATCCTAAAAAGGCACCCACTCATCAATAATCACCGGACTTCCATGGATGCCCAAATCGTTAACCAAAAACAAAAAACGTTAACCAACTATATTTGCATAAGAATTTCAACCCTTTCTGACAGAAGCTATCCTATTTTTTTATATGCAACCATTTGACGAATGCCAAAGGGACAACTTCATATGCTCGGCTTCTCCTTTTTGTTTCATTTGAAAGCCGAACAGAGCAACAAGTTCTTCACTCTTCTGGCATTATTTGGATGAATTTCAATAAGCTTTACTGAAGAACTGAACAATTACTCTAGAAAGTTCCAACATAATATTTTCAATAGAAGTATCAAGATTCCGCACACAGATTATTGAGCTGCAGATTCATCCACATTAAAAAAACAAAAGAAGTTGAACTATTGAACAACTTATAATATCCTTCTAGAATAAGTCCAGCTACACCACAAAAAGGATCAGCCGTACTGGGACATGAAAACAAATTATGATAACACTTATGAAAGAATACATTGACACCGACAATTACATGGTTAGACCTACATCAATCGGCATAAAGGAAGAATTTTCCTACAACCGAAGTATTAAACATATTGAAAAAGAATACAAATTAGAGATCCCACTCTACGTTATCCAGAAAATAAATCCAAGATCAAGAGTATCCCATAAATTCATTCCATGACAATTTCACACAAGTGTATCCATAACTTATTTCTATACTATTTTCTCACAATTCTGCCACATATAGTTTACAATTCTCTCAATGCTCTTACATTGACAAAACTCTCTCAACCTCTCAGTTCCATTTTTTTACATTTTCAGTTCCTTCCACGACTAAACAATGAATAAGAGATGGCAATTTATAAAGTTGATTCCCTCACCAAACCTAAGTGGCCAACTCACTCTGAGTTGTACTCACAAAAAATACAAGTCAACTCAATACAAGTTATATCAAGCAGCAAGACATCACAATACAAGTTGCAATCAAGTTGCAAGCCAATTCAAAATTGTAATCTCTCACTCAAAAATGTAGACAAGTTGCAAACCAACTTACCCCAAGTTGTAATCAAGTTGCTAGCCTACTTACTCAAAAGAAAAAAATAAACAAAAAATAGGCTTGTTAGCACTGCTTACTAGGGATTCAGTAATACAGAGAGGATTGGCTGGAGTTTCTAACACAATAGACTTGTTCCACCTCAATCAGCTCTTACTTGAAGTTCTTTTACTACAACTTTTCCATCAAAGAATTTTATAAGCTCTTAGCACTTGTGCCTTAATATGCACTATCCTTTCATACTTCCTCCAAGTTGTGCTTACACATGCTCCAATGCCTCTATACTCCAAATTATATTTTTCTATGCATCTTGCAATACTTGACTCTCAGATTTGTTGTGCATTGCTTACTAGGGATTCAGTAATATAGAGAGGCTGACTCCACTTCCTCAAACATACGGTAAGGAGTTGTTACACAGAAGCTTGAATTTGATGCTACTTTGGACGATTTGGCATATTCGTTCATGTGGAAATTGGAATAGTAGCTTGTTCTTTGCATACTGCTCTGATAAAACATATCGATTTGGCCAAAAAAGTTAATATTTGGAGTAGGTGTAAAAGGGTCTGCACTTCCCATCCATTGCAACCCCACAAATGGCTTTATACATGAGAATACGCCTTTCATTGTTTTACAACCCTGCAGATAGTTAGTTCTAAAAGGGAACTCACCTTCAATCTATTTCAGAACCACATATTACAGGGAATTCGCCTACTCCATCGCAGTCCATATATGATAGAAATCACCTTTCATCCTTTTGACCCATAGATGGCTTAAGAGGACTCTCTTCCATCTAACATTGCCTTAAAAATGCTAGAGTTGCAAAAGAAATCATCACTCTATTCATTACAACACTACATAGGCTTTACAATACAAAGGAATTCATCATCCATTCATTGCAACCCCACAGAGTCCCAAATAAGTTGAGGTCGGGTATATGAATCCTCATTTCGGCATTTCAGCTCATATCATATCATAGATGGGTGAAAAAAAGGAACTCGCATTCCATCCATTTACAAATCTACAAATGGTTAGAGTATACAGGATTCACATTCTCACAATCACATTATAATTTATTACCTCTGTCTCAAAGTGATCAGAAAACACAATCTAAACTCTAAAGACACCGATAACCATGAAAAGTTCAATAGTATGGATACAGTGTGTAATACAGACTAAGATAAAGATAGGGGTGATAGCTACTAGTTGAGCTTAGCTTTTAAACTCGTATAGAACTTCTGTTATTATTATTATCATTATTATTTATATATAGTTTTAACGTATTTTCCAGTTTTATTTTATTCATTATGAGTATGATATAATATGAGCTTAAATGAAGAAATGAGGATTCATATAGCCAACCCAACTTGTTTGGGATTGCAGCGTAATTATTGCTATTATGGATACAATGTGTCAGGCTCTGCTACCAAATTTTAGGCTGACAATTCAAACTGGACAGCAAATAAGATAAAACAACTTTAATATTTCCCAAAAATTCTTTCAGCCCTCATACTTGAAAAGATCTCTCTCTAACTTCCACTCACACTTATGGTCTATGATTGTCATTCCATCCATGGCTAAATATTGAACAAGAGACCGCTATTTTACAGTTGATTCTCTTTCACCAACACCAAGAGGCAAACTCAGTCCAAGTCATAATCAGATTACAAGACAGCTCCTCTGAGCAGCAATGAAGTTGTAAGACAACTCACTCCAAGTTTTAATCCTATTCAAAGTCAACTCACTCGTAGTTGTAATCAAGATACATGCCAACTCATTCCAGTTTTTTCAAGTTGCAAGTGAACTTACTCAACTATTCAAGAAGATGCCACTAAACAATCTGCGCAGAAAATTTTAAGAACATACTCATCAAAGAAATTTAAACATTTTTCCAGGACGTTCCAATTTGCACCAGAGTTAAAGAGTTTATGTGCAAAGCCATCTACGTTAAACCTAAAAAGATTACTGTAGAATCAAACAGAGAAGCTTGGAGATTCTTTATAGTAGCATCATAGACAGGCGAAGAAAAGCAAAAAAACTTTGGACCTTAGTTAGGGTAACTTATACTTGCGTACAGATATTTATATTAAGAATGAATAGAAAGATATATTAGGAGACCTTGTGAAGCTCAGTTCCGGCGAGAAGAGAGTCGATTTGAGATAGGGACCACAACAAAGGGATAGGTTCAGAATAAGAGATCAACTGGAGATAACCAAACCAAGGCTTCGCTCATACATGATGACAACTGCTAGAGCTAAGATGCCTTGAAGCTCCGATTCCTCTATCATTTGCCGCACACCTGAAGTCTTTACCGTCAAGCAACTCTCCTTGGGAATAGTCGCCACTAAATCACCAACATTGAGATCGCACAAGGCTCTTACGGATACCGCCGAAGAGTTCGTCGTCACTACCACGTCCAGCGCGTCGCTACACTCTACATGTTGCGACTTCATCCAATTCTTGAATGCTCTCAATTTCCTACTAGAAACCATACAGTAATATAAACGTTAATTCCATCTTCATCATCATACATATAGAGATTTCGGCAGTGCTCATACCTGGTTGCCATTGCTACAGCAGCGGCGGCGGAAGGTTTCACTGCTGGCTTGCAATTTTTTCTCATATATTTGCTATGCAAAATGCAATAAATGGTGCTCAACTATTCGACTATGTTTAAAACAGTCACAAATAATTATACATTTATCAAATTTAATTTTAATTATTTAGCTATTCAAAATATTACTTATCAAGTTTGGTCTATTAATTATTATATATATACAAATACACACTAATCATTTTTAGTCTCTTACTCATTTTAGTTCTTTAACTATTTAAAAAAAATTTAGGTTTAGTCTTTGTTTATTATATATATATATATATATATATATATATATAACTTAGATTTATATTAATAGAACTCATGCCTTGAAATTAAATTTTTAAATCATTTTTTCAATTGTTTCTCTCTCCCTGACAACTTTTCTTCAAATTACTATTATGAAAAGAACTTTAACCTCAATGATTCAAAATAAAATTCACGAAGAAAAAAGATATAAGTCATGATTTTATTCAATATAGAAGAAAAATATGTATATAATTGTTGCTAATGAGTTCAAAATGCTAAAGTTTATTATAAAAAGAAAAAATTATTGTTATTACTCATTAGGTGTGGGGAGAGATTTATTTATTTATATTTAATAGAAATGAATTTTTTGCAATGAGAATAAAACTAAAAGTTCTTTACTCGCATATTTTGATTCCAAATTTTTTACTCCAATGACTTTATTAAAAGAAATTTGTTTAATTTTTTAGAAGTTGAAATTTATAAAATGGTAGATTTGCAACTTTTTTTTAATTTTGAAATAGGTTGATTTTATTATTCTATTTATTTTATTTTACTTAGATAAATTTGAGTAATGAGATCGAATCTTTTATTTTTTTGTGAAAAAGTAGAATTAAAAAAATTTCACACTGATTATGAACCATTAACCTCTAGAGAAGAGATTATAGTATATTCAAGTTATTAGCAACAATAATATGCTTCATTTTATCTTTCATTGAATAAAATCAGGACTCGTATATTATTTCCTTATTAATTTTATTTTGAATTGTTAAAGTCGGGTTCTTTTCATTAGAGTAATTTGAAGAAGAAGTAGTGGGGTAGAAAGAGAAACAACTACAAAAATGGGTTAAATATTTTATTTCACGATTGCACGAGTTTCTTTAATACAAACTTAAGTTATTTGTATATAAAAAAAATAGACAAATATGAAACTTGATAAGTTTTTTGATACTTGAAAATTAAACCGATAAGTGAATAGTTAAGGGACCAAACTTGATATTGTTTTGGATAGTTAAACGACAAATTCAATAAATATATAGTTAAAGGACTATTTCAAACCTATACATTTTCTCACACCAATAAAGTGACAAGTTTGATCACTCATTGGCGTGAAGTGTAGTATTCAAAATTTCTAGGGAAAAGAGCTAAAGAATATCCCTAACGTATTGGAAATATATCAAAAATATCATTCTTCTACTTTTTGGTGTAAAAATACCTTTAAACCTTTATTTTTCATTCAAGATACCCCTCCTTTTATCTTTTGGTCTATAAACACTCTAAATCCAAATTTAATTCAATTTTAATTTGATTTTCTTACTAATTCGTTGATTCTTCTATTTATTTCAAAAGATAATTTTTTTATTCAAATTCTTAATATTAACTCATTCCAAAATATTTAAGTATGAATATTTAAATCTAAAAAATAAAATAAAGAATTTAATGTGTAAAAATAAATAATAAAAATCTTATTCTTTAAGACTTTATTTCCTGATGTTTTTTTCCTCTATGGCCTTTGGTTAATTTATTACTAAATTTCATCCTGATCCAATAATGTAGGGTGATACTTTCAAATTACACCTCCCTAAAAAATATATAAGCGGTCATTGTTCAAATAAAGAACCTAACAGAGGTTAGGGTCGATCGCACGAGGAATGAGGTCTAAACTTCGCCTAATCTATTGCTAGTCATACTCTTAATCCAGTTATTTCCGTAAAAAGGGGCGTTTTGTAAAACAAAAGCTTGAATAATTGATTTCAGTAATATGAAACCAAGTAAGCATTAGGGTATATATGATCCCCACAAGTCCTTAGCAGTAAACCTTATAGTAGTAACATTTTCTAGTGTCGAGCATGCAAAATTGGTAAGCTTGGTATCTCCTAAGTGGCTGGTCGCCCAAATAGGGAATTTCACCATACAACTTTGATCGATCTACGGGTGTATGTTTTAATAACTCTTTCACTTGATACAAGATTAGCTATCACTGGTTGTTCAAGCTATTAGATGAAGTTTGTAGTCATCAAATCTCTGTTGTTTTAATCTCTTTCTCATTTGTTACCCCCTTGGTCAAGCAAGTAGGAATAAGGTGAGTTCTAATGTAGGCCCTCGTTAAAAAGCAATTAAAGCTAAGACATCAACAATACATGCATAAACACTATTTAAGAATTACAAATTTTAGGTCTACTTTGTTAATTCCTTGTGGTTCCCACAATCCTAGTTGTGGATTTAGCTACTCATGCTTAGGTGACCACAATGCCTATTAATGTTGTTAAAATAAATCATGAACTTACAATTAGAGTAGATAAATTGTGGAATCTTGAATTGATGAACAAAAAATTGCAATATGAACCGACAATTTCAAGAATTAAAATGGAAAAGTGTTTCACAAAATTAATTCTCAAAAAGCAAAAATAAGGTTTTTAATTGTCTAACCATAAAAAAACAAATAATAAAAGACTATTTATAAACATCCAATTCTAAATACAGTAGGCTAAGAAAACATAGGAAAATGGGATTTTGATTGTCGCTTCTACGGTTAGGTTCTACGGCTCGTAGGAACCTTTCGTCAAAACAACTTACTATTTCAATCTTTTGGACTTTTGTATGGACAATGTCTTTGACTCAGAGAACTTTACACAGTCCGTCCTGGCAACTCGTTGCCCATGTACTAGAGCTTAAAATCTCTAATTTTTTCTAAGACTTGAACCTGCGGCTTATAGAAGTTCCTACGGATCGTAGTCCAGTCTTGCTGCCCAACACTTAGCTCAAAAAGTCACTGCTTCCTTCCATAACTCATCCCTATGGCTCATAGAATAGTCTACGGCTCGTAGGTCAAATCGTCTAACCTCCAAAAGCTACTGTTTCCCTGAATTTTTATTCTGATGTGTCAAAAACCTATTTTCCTGCAAAACAAAGGTAAAAACCCATCAAACCTACTAGCAAGGGCCTAAGAACCATGCAAAACTCCAAGTTTAAAGCATCATAACTACCATAAAATATTTAGTACATCAACACCATCAACTTAAAATAGTGGCTTGTCTCAAGCGAGACTACTAACATGAAACTACATGATGCAAAAATAGACCTAGAATTCCAGCAATCACATGGTCTTTTCTCAACAATCTATCCACCAGATTCATCATTCAAGACAGTGCAATCATTAATTCCATGACAAGTTAACACATGCGGATCAATGTATGATATAGACATATCAATGGATATATTCACATGTACCGATAATAATCACCAATGTATTGATTTTTTTTATAATGTAACTTGTGTCCTCACTCCAAAGAAATTCCCTTTTCACACAAATATCAATATGTATTTCAACCACTGGGACTTAATATACGCTCACTCGCACATTCAAATTCAATACAATACATGCACAATACCATAGGCTTGCCTTTATATTCATTATTTAGACTCTCAAACTATTAAATTAACATCACTATGAGCCTTTTTTTAGCTTATAACATAGGCCCAGGGTCAGGTGTGGTATAATTAGATTCAAAGTGACTTTTATACCCTCCTTGACATTTCATTAGCTACTCTTCCTCTTTACAATCAATACTTGTTTCACCTCTATTTTCTTTTCTCCTCATTTCTCATTAAAGCTTGGATGTGGCTTTGACTTACTTCTCTTTCTCGTTACAATATTATCTTCATCTTTACAAGCATTTTTTCTATGCCACACCATCTTATTTTTCTCTTTTCTTATAACATAGTTCTTTTCATACTCCTTTCATCTCTTGTTTTCCTCTACAGTATTCACCCTTAACTTAGGCTTTTAGCCTAAGTTGAGGTGCACGATGTTCAAGGAGGGACCATGGCCAAAACAAAGATTAACATTCACGAATGGGAAGTGAATTGGGTAGACAAAAAGAATGGTTTATTTAAGGCTCAACAATTTGGATTGAAGATAGCATTTTCATTTGGTTGATTGATTTTAGGCTTAATTTCAACAACGATGTATGATCCTTTCCTAATTAACAATTCAATTATCTTAGCAAAATTAACGGGGCAAGTTCTAGATTGGCACATATTGTATGAATAAATAAATACCTCTCACACACATGGCACATTATTTCACTATCAATTATCAATGTATCTGGTTCATGCTCCATCTTAACTCATGTTATCCTATCAGTTCCTACCATGTCATACCAAGATGCAACACAATTTACTTATTAGTAACACAGATATAGCACAAAGCCCAAACTTTGTATATCAATTTTCATCAAAATTTCCATCATGCTTTTACTTATAGTCAATTATCACAATCAACATCCTAAACAATGTCGGTTCAACATAAATTAAATAGTCCTTTGGGAAAAAGAACATGGAAAAAAATCCCAAGGCAAGATCTGAATGTTCTGGCTATTCACACTTCACCCAAACACTCTTAAATGGTTTATCCCACCCCCACATAAAACATTGTGCACTATCCTCAATGCACTAAGAAAACAAATATAAAGAACAAAGGGTGAAGACAAACCTATGGCGCCTAAGCGCCAAAGAGCTAGCTAGAGGTAGGTGGGTCCAATGGTCTGGACCCTTGTGCATCACTGTGCGCCTTTGGATCAATCTGGGGAGCACCAAAAGTGGTTCCCCTTAAGCTTGAAGCTCCAATCGCCTGTTGTCGTACTCTCT